GTAATCATTCGGACCCAGAAAACTTGGCCGAAGACACGGGAGTCATATACAACAAATTGAGTCACAGTGGAGAGCAGTCCAGAGGTTTTTCAGAAAACAATCACATTACATTATTTCATTTATCACTATCATAGCGGAGTTAAGGGCAACCTGACTATAGATAAGATTGGTCGAATCTGTTCTAAAACTGAAACAGCACGCACCGACTCAACATAGTCTTATCTGCCCCACCTCTAGTGTTTTTGTAAAGCTGTATGCACGAGGGAGAGCAACTCCCGCCCAAGCCAAGCGGCAGAGGTGAGCATGGGTGCCTGCAATTTGCTAGGCAATGGCGAAGGCAAAGCGCCAAAGCTGTTGCAGAAGTAAATTTGGGTAAATATTTCTGTGTAAAAAAGTGAGGTTATGATTTTACAAAAAAATGTATTACTCATAAACTATACATTTCTGCAAGTGGGGAAAGGTAGGGGGGCTTCCCCGGAACCCGCCCTTCCCCCTTCCCACCCTTTATGCAAGTACCGGATGTCTATAGTTTTACCAGAATTTGTATTAAGGTGCAGCTGCAATAAATTCTCAATTTGTTTAATTTTTTATATTACGGAATGTCCACTAATGTAAAAAAAAACACCATTTAGTGGCAATGTAAAAGAATCCACTACCCCATATTATCCTGTGAGTTGGACCATAGTGAAAGTTAAGGGCAACAGCATCTAAATGATTACAACTCAAAATAAAAAAAAACTGCACTTGCTAAACTCACATGTTAAGCAAGTCGACAATATTCAGCAGTAAACTATTGATAAGCTTCAATGAATGAATTCGTAAGTTTCACCAGCCAACTCTGCAGTCACCTACAACCTTGAACTTCCTACATACCTCCTTTAGTTGCATCATTAAATACAATGTGGGTTGTTCTTAACCACACTTGTTGAGATATAGGATGATCACATGAGAATCTATTTAAAAAAATCACTTGTACTATTGTATTGGTTACTCTAAATCTGTTGTGAATATTTTTTGTTTATTTTATTTCTATAAAGCAATGTAAACACCAAATACAAAATAGTGACAGAAGTACAATATGACTTAAATGTCGTAACAATTATGGATATCATCATAATAATATTTTATAATGCAGAGAAATTTCAATAAAATCCTATTGTAATGGAGCTTTAACCACAGATATATATAGGTAAACTAAGCAACATAACACTGCCAAAACGGTAAAAGAACAACTCTCAGATCTAGAGGTGATCAAGCACCATGCTCTGGCTGTTTACTTTTGTTTTCAGATGATGAAAAATACTGAACAATAAGACGAAAAGTAATTGCTCAAATGCTGCTCAGCCAAGGTAAATGAATACAAATATTATATACAAATTTATAGTCACATATAAGTGTAATACATTTATAATACAAACCATGTATTTTCGCATATCACACCTCCGCTCAAATAGTGTCACAACTCAAAAAAATTAAAAGACTCTTTTATTGCACCATTTGTTTCAGAAAACTTCAAAATCTTATCTCAAATAGTGTCGAACTTATGGTTTAAATATTTATCCCTAGATGGTACTAGTGTCATTATAATGTTAAGACTCCTTAATAAAACATCAGAGTGAGAATCAGCGCTCCATACCGTTTTCATCGGTGACAATATGTGTAAATAGTAATGACTCCTTATTGTCATCCACACTCTATGACGGTGTCATAACAAAGAATAAAAACTTAAAAAGTAATTTAAATATTAAAAAACATGAAGTTATTATGTATTGTGATAACATAGGTAAAAATTTGGGAATGATGTTAAATAACTATTTAAAAGGACAAGTGATTAGTAATTATTGTATGCCTGGAGCATCCTTTAGTCATATAATGAATAAAGTTTTAACTAGTAAGTTTTGTCCTAATAGCACATTAATAATTCTTGTTGGGAGAAGAGGCAATGTAAACAAAAATCAATTATTAAAATATATTGATTACCTCAATACTTTAAATGTACATAAAATTATCTTGTTTACATTGCCTTACATACAGGGTTGGTCACAGGAGAATAAAATAAAATATGACTTAAATTTATTAAGAAAAGGACCGACCTGTGGTCTGAAACTAGTTCGATAATAACCTCTATCAAATTAATAGTAAGTCGGATGTCTTTTAGCAGCACTATATCAAGGACGTCCGGATGTTGGTAATTTGCATAAGGTTAGTTTGTTGGACTCTCGGGAGCGATAACGTCGAAGTTAAGTGTCTCCGTGAGGTCTCTTATAATAATTCCGTTAGGATTGTTAACGTTAGAATTCCTCGACTTGCGCCAGGTGGTCGTTTGACTAAATATCGTATAAAGTGTTGTTTGTCGAGATAAGACAGTATATGTGATTAAGGCTTGGCAAATATCTTCCTTTTCCGCAGTAAAACTGTTCTGTGTCGATATATGTCAGTGTATGTGGTTTTAAGGTAACGCAAAAATCTTATTTATTTCGCAATCAAATTGATCTGTGTCGAGTTGTGAAAATACGTGTGAATGAATGAATGCAGTTTTATACCAAAACATACTCAAATAAATAATTTAGAAGTAATAGATGACAGCAATAAAAACATGTTTATTTAAATGAGACTTCCGAAAATATTTTTAATTTACCAGTCGAATATAATAATGAAAACCTTATGCAAGATTACACTGGAGGTGAAGAAACAGATGATTCAGATGAAGATTCCAACTACGACACTGCTCATAAAAGAGTAAGAAAAATAATGTCGTTCTTCATCACCTATCATCATCATCATTGAGTTCTTCATCGTCCAGCTCTAGTTCATCTTCGTCCAGTTCCAATTCATTCTCATCCAGCTCGCTATCTTTATTATCTAGTGCAAAGCCAAGCAAAGACATTCGCGGAAACCACCCATCAACTTCACAAGAATCTAATTTAGACAGACCTAACCCCCAAGGACAAAATGAGATGACAAAAGAAATTGTGCCCACTTCATGTAAGAAAGGGCGTGCTGAAGGACAATGGAAGCAAAATGTGACTAAAATTCTACGAAACTCAGGATTGCCTTATAAAACAAAATCTAGGCGAAGTGTTCCTAAAAAAGTTATTAAAGAAGGTTGTGGATGCTGGATAGTAATGACAGAGCGATCAAAACTGTAACAGAGAAATCAACTGGGGTTTTTTTTGAAAGAAGATCAAAGAGGAAAACATAATAAACATTATACTGTTGGCGAAACTATTAAAATGAAATCAGGGATCATAATTATAAAAGGAATACCAAAGATTGAAAACCATTATTTGAGGGCACAAACTACACGAGAATTCATTGATAAAGGAAAAACTTTTTCTGACTTACATAGCGACTATATGTACTAGTGTAAACGAAATGGTCGGAATTATGGGAATTATGTGATTTTATTTAGATTTCTTCGTACCAAAGAAAGACAGATATGAATTATGTGTAGCTTACGAAAATTCGAATCTGGAAGATAAAGTACATAAGGCGATGTTTTTGTTTTTGACTATAAGAGAAAACTTAATAACATGCATTTCACGGTTAGCAAGTTGACAGCAGAAAACACAGAAAGAAAAAGAAACCAATCAACAACAAGTAACAGTAATAATTGTGATTTGATTGTAAATCACAGTATTACTGAGTGCTATTTTTGGCATGAGAGTAAAGGCAATCGAGGTGCAGACGAAATTGGTAACTGCTTGCTATAATTTATAAAAAATTGCACAGTCGTACAGGTAACGAGCCCATTGATTTAGTTTTCTATTCGGACAACTGTTGCGGGCAAAATAAAAATAGGTACATAGTTGGGTTGTACATGTTTACAGTATAGAAATACGATAAACTTAACTCGATTAGTTAGTTATAAATTTTACAACCTGGACACACTCAGAATGAAGGTGACTCAGTACATTTGGTGATAGAAAAGCAAATAAAACACTCGTTGAAATTAGATCCAATTTACGTTCCCAGTCAATATGTACAAATAATTAAACAGGCTAAAAAACTGGGGAGACGCTGAGAGTAAATGAGCTCTCATATAAAGTTTTCATTTCTTTAAAAATTTTAACTAGTGATATGGGTATAACAACTAAATAAGATAAGGATCTCTGATGTAAAAATGATGACTATTGCCAAAGATAGACCAAATAATTTAAAGTACAAAACATCTTACACAAACACCGAATGGTCAGAAGGTAATTTACTCTCCTGAAATAAAATAATACTAATAATTCCTGACACTAAATAAGCTTATACTACTAAAATCATAATCAAGGAGAATAAAAAGACTGATTTAATGACTACAAAAAATAATCACATTCCTAGTTTTTGTGCTGACTTTTATAGCAATTTGCGAGTTATTTTGATGTTAATTCTAATTATATAAGATACTAAAGATATTACGCTCTACGATATGAGACTTAGGTACTTTTCTGTTTGATTTTTGTATTGTTGATTAATGTTAATTCGTTTTAATTAAAACAAGATTTCGTAAATTTTTCATTTTGTTTATTTGTATAGTGTCACAACTCAATTTTTATTTCATGCTTTCAGGATACCTAATACAGTATTTTATAGAGCATCAAAAACCGTTGTAAGTTACTAAGAAACTTATAGCACTAATTTTGTTAGTTTTCGATTTATCACCCGAAAAGTGACAACAAAAAGTTCAAACGCCTTTTTCTCGATAATTTACTTTTTTGACTTACGACACTATTTGAGCGGAGGTGCGATATTTAGTTGCAATATTTTATTTAGAATGTCACAAAAACATACAATGTTAGTTAGTGGAATGATTTACAATTATAATGTCATAGATAGATACATAGTAATTTAGCAAAGGATATAAACTCCTTTAGTAAAATTCCTTATTGGTATTTACATTTAGAAATCTTTATCTTATATATCTATATCTTTAGTACAATGTATTGGTCATAAATGCCTTGTGTTATGAATGAGGTAACTTTTGTCCTGACATTATTATATTGTACACAAACCTTGCGAAGCGAGTTGACGAACAACCCCCGCCATTTTTCTGCATTATCCGGGTCCTGGAAGTCGTAGCCTCGACTCTCCTCCACTGTCGGCAGCATCTTGACCCCCAGCCCTGTCTCCGAATCATGTAAACATTTGATTGATTTGATATCACACCAACTTTAAATTATTCACCATTGCGCCTTTAGCGGAAACTTAACAGCTTCCCAATTCCACAGAACACTTTTAAAAATAACTTCTATATTTGGAAAATTTATAAGGGAAACAAGCGACTAATATAACTTTTATAACATAATACAGAATAAATTATTCTCAAGCTCATTTGATCGGCAAAACGACGCCATTTTCAATTTATTTACTACGTCATTGTTCTTTATCCCTAAAGCCAACTCCGTTCAAAAAGAACACAGTAATTTGATTGGTCACTTTACAACATGACGTAATACCCTTACGTTTAATTGGTGAATTCAATTTGATTGACATTGCGTCACAGCATTAAGTGTAAGTATGAAAAATTCTGTTCTCGTCGTAGGGTCGTTGGATCTCGTTCAAAAATACTTTTTAATTTAAGCATATTAACATACATATTTCTTATATCCAATATTCATATAAAGTGACATTGAATCCACGGAATCATCGATTTTATTTTAAAATTCACAATTTAGTGTTTAAAATTTGAAATTTTTTTAGTTAATAGTTAATTATAAGAAACTTAACTAAAATAATAATTAAAATTATAATATAATTTACGATAAATACTAATTATATACAATATAAAAAATAAACTATAATATAGATAAACTAAAACTAAAAATTGAAATAGTCAAAAAGACCTAGAAGAAAAAGAAATAATAAGAAGGCTGGTTCTTTCCTTGCTCAAAGGCTAAGTATAGCTATTCAGCGAGGAAACGCAGCCAGCGTTCTTGGCACTATACCACGGGGAGCAGGTCTTTTTGACTGTTTAAATTTTAAGTTTTAATTTATCTATATTATAGTTTCTTTTTTATATTGTATATAATTAGTACTAATCGTAAATATTATAATTTTAATTAACATTGAATAAGTAAATTTTACAGATGTGCTTAGTGGAAACGTAGAGAAACTAAATGGTAATATGTATTTTCTTTATGGGCCAAAAATATGGGAAATATTGATGTCATATTAAATTAAACGAATTTTTATTTTATAAGGCATAATATGATCATAAGATGATTATGCCAACCCGCTCGCCAAGCGTGGCAACTATGGCAATATACCCCCGATGAATAATTACAAAAATAGACGGCCCCCAGTCCACGGCGGCCCCGCTATTCCTGGCTATGGTGGCGACCATGGTAACGGCGGGTCAGGAGGTGCTAAGAATCTCCGGTGAAGGTTCGGTTGCCACCCACGACGACTCGACCTGCCAACATAAAACGCACCCACCATGAGGACTGACGAGAAGATCCTGGAGCTGGAAGAAGAGATAGAAAAGTTGCGCTGGAATATTACAGGATTATCCGAGATCCGAAGAGAGGGGGGGACACGGTGATTCTCGAATCCGGCAACTTGTTCTATCACCGGGAGCGACCTTCCGTCCCATGGAGGTGTTGGATTTATCGTCCACAAGTCTCTCCTTAACAAAGATTGGGAGTGTATCGACGAGGGTTGCGTACCTTATACTCAGAATCGCCAAACGGTATTAGCTAAAGGTCATACAGGTTTACGCGCCAACGTCGGAATATCCCGATGAGGAGGTGGAGGAAATGTATGAGGATATTTATAGAGCGATGCATTTCTCCAAAGCTCACTATACGGTGTTGATGGGAGATTTCAACGCAAAACTGGGCACAAGAAAGAACGGTGAGCTGCAGGTAGGGAAATTTGGGATAGGGCAACGGAACCCAAGGGGCCAGCAGCTGACCGACTTCATGGAGAAAGAGGGACTTTTTATGATGAACTCTTTCTTCCAGAAGCGGCCCCACAGAAAGTGGACCTGGTCGAGCCCCGACGGTTCGACAAAAACGAGATTGACTTCATTATGACGACCAGACGCCAACTGTTCAGTGATGTCTCAGTGATCGCAAGGGTGAAAACTGGCAGCGATCACCGAATGGTTAGAGGCACACTGAACCTAAACGCAAAATTGGAGAGGTCTCGTCTAATGAAGTCAACGCTCCGTCCTCCTCATGATCGTAATCCAGAACCCCGAAACATTTCAGCTCGAGTTACGTAACCGCTTTCAGTGCCTAGAAGATTGAAATGCAGTGAACGATATGAATCACAAGCTTGTGGAAACTGTCCATGCGGTCGGAGCTAAGTTCTGCAAGACCCACCGCAGAAGAACACAAAAACCCTTCAATCACACTCTTAATCTCATGGATGTTAGACGGAAGATGAGGCTGCAATCGTCAACAGATTTGATAGCATACAGACTGGAACAGAATACTAACATAATAGCAGGCAGGAACAGACAGATCTCCAAATGCATGCGGCGATACTTACGCAACTTTTATACTGCTCGTATTAAAGAAGCGATCGAGCGGAACCAGGGCTCCAAAGTCTTTGCCAGAGATCTGTCTGCAAGAAAGAGCCAACTGTTAAAGCTGAAGACTGATTATGGCAGCATCGTTTCCGGGACACCTGAGATTTTGAGTGAGATTGAGAGGTTCTATGGGCAGCTGTAAACATAATCGTTGGAGCGACACGCAAGTGTGAGTAACGATCCAAGAGCAAGTCTTATCCGACACTATTCCGATGATATCCCGGACGTCAGTCTGAGCGAGATTAGAATGGCTCTCCAGCACCTTAAAAATGGCAGGGCCACAGGCGAGGATGGAATTACAGCGGAGTGGTTTCTCTGTCTACGTCTAGTACATAGTCAGTAATCTATGGTCATTACTAAGCTGTCAAAATGGGCGACTGCATCGCCAAAAGGCGTAGTTGGGAAACTTGACTAAAACTCGTAGACAGAGAATGCTACTAAAACTAAAAGAAACATTCTTAGAGCATACATTACATGGAGGGAGCACTGTGTGAGCAGAAAGCGTGATCGGTGCTCTAAGGTTTAGATAGAGTCTGTCTCTCTCGCACATGCTTCTGATTGGCTGTAATGTAAATCACGTCACCTTGCTTGGCGCATGCCAAATGAAACAGCCAATGACAGTGACTGTGCTAGAGAGACATACTCTACCTAAACTCAGTTTTTCTCTCTCTACGCCGATCACGCTTTCTGCTCACACAGTGCTCCCTCCATGTAATGTATGCTCTAAGGAAACATTATATAGTTTCTCCCATAGAGTAGAGTAATATATACAGAAAGTTTCTCTATCTAGTCTGTGAGTCAGTCACTGTCGTATCTGTAGCTTGTTACATATTTATTTATCTATGAATTATTGAAATCGATTTAGTGTTGTTTTAGAATTATTGTATCTGATATGTAAACATTTCGTTGTTCTAACTTGTTTAAAATGTTAAATGCTCGCCCGAAACTTGTATCTTGTTAAACGTTAAACGTTCACAGAGTTGATACCGAAAATTTAGTTGCTGAATCCCAAGAATTGCTATTAAGTACTTATTTGCTGTGAAAAAGACGTAATATAAAGGATAGGCAATGATTCAGTTATTCTACTTTTGCTTTTTAATAAGAGTCGGAGCTTATTCTAAGGAGGCGAATAATGCTGTTTTTAATGTGACCCATAGAAAATTCATTTATGATACGTAAGTTTGAATAATTTATTGTTTGCTGATTGTAATGTTTGTTTTAACTTATAAGCTGCACGGTAAAGTTTGATCATTAATGATTATTTTAGTAATGATATGTTTACTTTATAATTTACAATAATTGTAAGCTTAAAAATCTTGTTATACTTGTTATGCATGTATACATTGTTCTTTTTCTAAATAAGTTTTCTGTAAAAGTTAGTAAAGCATACTGACTTAGCTTTACAAATGCCTGTTCACACCTGCCTTGAAGGCACTCACATTATAATAAGATAGAAAGAATGCTGGAAGATTATTCCACTTCTTTGCTGTACTCATTATGAATGAAGATGAAAACAGTTTAGTTTGAATCCATATTGTGTCGGCAATAAGGGGGTGGAGTCCAGCCGAGTCTGGTGGTCAATGATGGAATGGAGGATTAAGTCAAGCAATTTTGAATAGTTTTTTAAAGTGAAAACTTCTTTAGAATTATATTTATTATTTAAAAACATCTATAGGATTTAGTCTGTGAGAGAATGAGCTAGACTATAGTGTGGACTGCAAACTCAAAAGGTTGTGGGTTCGAATCCACTATTCGATTTTTGTCTTTTTTAGATTTCATTTTTATTTATTTATTAAATAAATAAAATTAACCATATTGAATAAAATTATCTTATATACCAATCTATAACAATCTATGAATTCATACATTCAAGTCATCTAGCATCACCTTGAGATTCAATCAAATTTTGTTTGATAAAAAGACTATCTATAAAATGAAGGAGATGGTGCTATTACAAAGAAATTTAACTCTAAAGAATTCATTATTTTCATTTAAATATTACACTAAAATGAGGTCTAAAAATAACCTTTCAGCTGCGGAGACTAACCGTCATACTCCGTTGAGTGCGAAGCTGTTTAGTAAAATTGACAGCGCATTGGATGCAATCCGTTTAAACGCAAATTTGTTGATTTTGGTATATCAAATACTATAACATGTATACATTTCTGAATTCTCTATGAAATTTCCTATAAACGAGTACATAAATTAAATAAAGCCCCTAAGTAATAAGTGTAAGTAAATATTGAATAAAGACAAAATTGTAATATTTCTCGATGAAATAAAGTTTTTTAATGCTTCGATTTTATCTTCATTTAATTTTAAATCTATTGTTTACAATATTTTATGCGCAAAATCATAGGCTACAATACAATTTTTTATCATAAAACGCATTAATAGTAAGCTTACAAAAACCAACAATCAACTTACACCGATGTAGAATGTAGTTCGGACCAGATGCGGGATTAACAATTAAACTGCCGTCTGTCACATTTTAAATGCAATACTCCGTACAAAGTGACTGACATGGCAGTCAAAGGTTTAATGCATTAGTCAATAAAACTATCACTAGTTTTT